ACATCAGTACAAAATTATTAGAATTCAATAAAATTCAATTAATTCCAAGTTATGGTAATCCGTTTTATAAAGAAACTGCCAACATTTGACTTAATTAAAAAGAGAATCCATTCATTTTCCGCTTTGTTTTTTGTTTTTAAATCAGGGATCAGTTATTTCCATTAACTTTGACCGTGTTGTAAAACGCCGCGAGGTTTAAGATCTGTGACAAAAACTGGAACTAATGGGAAGAAACGGAGGAAAACTGTCTGAGCAGCTTCACATCCACGAACTCTGAAACTCTGGATCATTCCCCCTCCATATGTGACAAGATTATTTATCACCGTATTTCATGTTGGTCTTTAAAGCAGAGAGAATCTCTTCTCTGTGTTTTTCTCATGTGATGACAGCAACTGAATTAGCAGCTGCTACACACACACACACACACACACACACACAGAGAGAGAGAGAGAGAGAGAGAGAGAGAGAGAATGGATACCTTCTGCAGGCCCGACATGCACACACCAGCACAACCATAGTGAGAGAGAGGAGGGAGGAGGAGGAGGAGGAGGGGGGGGTGTTACCTGCTGCAGGGCCGTCACACACAGACCTGACTCCACATTTACGAAAACTGTATCAAATTGAAACAAACAACCAAAATTAAAAAAAAAAAAAACTATATAAGCGCCAACTGACAGACACTTTCGAACTTTCGACTACTGTGACCAGATGAAACTTCCGGCTCGTGTGTCGTCACGTCACCATCCCGCAGGTTCAGTGCTAAAGGTGAAGTGGAAACCTGAAAAAAAAACAAAAAAACCCCAAAACAAAACAATATTAAAAAAATAAAAGTCCATAATAATAATAAATAATAATAAAATATCACATGATTTCGAATTTCAAAAAGTCACTACACAGTCATTGTAAATAATGAAACAGATTAATCTCATTAGTAAAGTCATTACTGATAATAATAAATAATTATAAAATATCACATAATTTCGAATTTCAAAAAGTCACGACACAGTCATTGTAAATAATGAAACGGATTAATCTCATTAGTAAAGTCATTACTTCAGTCCAGGTGACAGGATTTCTTGTATTTTTTTTCTCCTGCAATTCCATTGGATCCGCCGGTAGATTGTGATCCCTTATATTTGTTATGTTATATCATCATGTTTTACCTCGCAGACCATTGGAAAAAAGTTTCTGTTTTGTTGATAATTGAAGGTTTTTACAGTATAATTTAACATTAAGTGTCACTGAATGTAGATTAATTTAGCAAGTATGAATAAACAGCTCTGACTCAGTAAGAGGTCAGTTGACATGCAGTGTCCAAAGTTAGGGTCAGGGGCTGATCGTGTCACTTGGACAGGTTTTAAGTGGCCCAGTAGGACAATCAAAAATTGTTGTATTGTAACATGTTTCAAGTAAGATGAAATCCTATTACTTTCTTCTAATAACATGCTTTAGTATCTCAGCAGTAGATCCTACAGTTAGATTTAATCTTATCCAATCTCGGTTTTTGAACTAACTCACCTCCACCTCCTTTGCTGTGATTTCCACGTCCAGTTCCATCTTGTCGCGGCAGCAGGAGTCAGACGTCAGGACCTGGAAACAGTAATGTTTGCTGTGTTTACATTTCAGGGAGCACAGTCTGTGATCCAGAGAGAAGCAGCGAGGAGGGATTTACCATTTCTGTTCCGAGACTCCAGCAGGATCTGGATCATCGGCCTCATCAACACCAGGCTGCCACTGCTGCAACAATGGAAACTCAGTATCGTTTTCATTAAAGCCTGTGACCTGATGTGTGTAAGAGCCTCGCTAATAAAACAAAATTTATTCATGGTGTTCATTTTCACATTGTAATGTCGGATAGTTTTAATAATCCGCTGAAAATGGAATAAAAGTAGAAAAATCACAAACTGTTTTTTTATCCTTTTCTTCTTCTCCATCCACAAACCTCTGTCAGCTGGACTTCATTTCTCCTTCATTCATAAGGGAATCTGCAAACACAGACTTAAACTGCCACATCTGGACACTGACATTTGTACGTGTTCACTGTGTTCCACAGCTCTCACACTAATGTATTTTAAATCGAACAGACTGTAAACATGGACTGACTCTCTCATGAAAAGCATGTCTTTGGCCTATTTGCCCATTTAATAGGTTGTCAAAACCATATTTAAAAAAAACATTAGACACGTATCATTTTATCCGAGCAGGATTTTTATGACTATTAGCCCACGATCATATTCGAGGGCTTAAATAAAACACATAAGAAATCAGCCATTGCTAATGTAATTCATTACGAGCTACTTCAAAGGCTTGTGTTTTACTGCATCAGAGAAAATGTCGTCCATGGTCCCAGCGCTGATTAGAAGAGAAACAAACATGTCTACTTGTTTCTCCTGTGGCTCAGAACAAAGAGCCGAGGATGCTCATAAAAAAGCTCTTTAACAACATTTAACTGCCTGTTAAAAATATGGTACTAATTAACAGGGAGACTCTGTGCTGATGGTCACTGCTGTGGTTGAATTACACGGAGAGACACAATGAGAAGGAGAGTAACAGGGAGGACAGAACCATTTCCTTCACGTTTATTGTGTTTTTACTGTCATGAATGTGGGAGAAAAAAAAAAGTATTAGTGTCCGTATTTCACAACAAAGTAAAAACAAATAGATCTTTTCCCTTATTTGGTGACGGGGCAAAACCATTGAAGCCAGTCCAGCAGCAATCACAGCAGCCTGGTAATCATTTTATCTGTTAATTTACTGATTTATCTGTTGCTCGTTTCTTCCATAAAAATGTCATGAAATTGTCAAAATAGTCACTAATTGTTATTAAATTATTAAAATTATGAATTTTACTGTATACTATTGAAAATAATGACATCACTGAGGTACAGAAATTATATATATATAAAAAATCTGCTTTGAGAAAATGGCAGAAGAGAACTCTTAATAAATGCAGTGGTTTCCAAAGTGTGGGGCAGGCCCCCCCGGGGATAATGAGCTATCGCAGAGGGCACCTAGCATGACAAATATATGTTAATTTGAATATTTTCTTAATTTGTCTCAGTGGGGAAACTGCACTTGTTCTCACATGTTCAATCAGAGAAGCAGTTTGTAGGAATTTCAATGGTTAAAAAAATGTTTTTTGAAGTTTTGAAGCGACAGGTAGGAAGTTGATTATAGTGCTATTTACAAAAAAGGTGGTGCTGCAGAAAAAGATTGGAAACCAACCCCTGCAACAAATGGATTATAAAAAATAGTCATAGTTGATGCATTAGAATTTGTCACAAACCATGGACAAACTGCTGCAGCTTTAACTCAGACACCACTGCTATCATGGTAGAACTGACTCTGTAAACAGAGCTTGTCAACTCTCATCACACCACACGCTGCTCAGACACAATTCAACAGGAAACTCCACCATTTGTGATTATCAAAGTATTCAAGCGTTGATGGAGAACACACCATCTTTAGAGATCCATAACTACAGGCATGACCCTGGGGGCAAAAAAGTTTCTAATGTACAAAAACACAGCATGACAGCTACACATGCCGCTGTTCCTGCGCTCAGTCAACACGAACCCTGAACATAGAAAATTATTCCAGCCACTTAGTCATCGTGTCGTCCCCATTACCGTATCTCTCTCTTCAAGGCATGAAAGGAACAAATATTTAATCTAAAACATTAGTCGGAGGCCACGGGAGCAGCAGCATGCACGGAAGGGAGAGGGAGTCGTTACACGTTGCCGCCTGGAATAAACATTTTTTCTTCGGCGAATGCTCCCTTTTCTTACGGCTGGCTCAGAAAACAGACACTCCGTTAAACTTCAAAAGCACACACACCAAGAGTGATGGCAGGCCCAGGACGGAGCAGACATCAGCTGCAGGGAGGAGAGGACGGCTGGCTCTGCTGCTTTATGACTCAACACAAGGTCACCAGCAGGAGCAGATTCATTTGCAGGCCTGATGCTAGTCTCCTATTAAAAAGGAGCCTGAACACAGCTGCTGAATACACACTGTTATCAGACCACATTCATCTGTGTTTATTACCTGCTGTAGAGACTCACTTAGCTGGCTATTCATCCCAGAAATTAGTTTTTTTTAAAGCATTCAAAAACATTTGTGCTGATCATGAAGACAATTTAGAGCAAATTCAATTCCCCCCCCTCTTTTTGGAATGCTTTTGGTCGAAGCATGGCTGATTTTATATACCTAGAATTGGAGCGACAACAGCCAAAGGGAGATTGAATTAGGGAGGGAAAAACAAATGCAGACATGAAATAAAATGTTAATACTGTATCTGATTGGTGACCAGCTACATGAGAGGAGGAAAGACATGATTTGGCTACTGTTCATCAGTGAGATGCTGTGAGGACCAGTCTGTAGAGGGTGGTCTATAGAAGCTCAGGTGGGCCGTGCTGGGGTGTCAGGGGAAATTGGTGGGGAAGAGGCTGAGCGGCTGGCTCTCGTTGGTGGGCAGAGGAGAGCGGTAGCCCTCGAAATTTCTCGGTATGCTGCCACTGGTGGAACCCGAGCTGTTGCTGAGGGTCTCGATGCTGCCCTCCCTCTGCAGCTCTGAGAAGAGAATGAGAGAAAACATGAACATGCACCTTTGGAGGAGCCAAACTTAAAATTACAATACATTCATTTTTTTACATGAAAGAAGGTGCAATCCTGCGGTCAGATTTTATATATAATGCTAAACTTTCTTTTAATGCTACACATTATTGCTACTAGTTTGTAACATTAATACAATAAAATGTCAGATTTGTATCTTTTAAAAAATATATATAAAATGAATAAAAATGCATTCATTGGAAAATTAAAGAGTTACTTTTGAGAGCACACAACTACAACTCTTACACACACCTTTTCTAATTCTCAGATATAACCAATGACCTGCATTTCCTGTTTAAAGGAGAAGCTCCACTGACCCTCAAGATAAAAAAAGACCATGTAGGGAACAACAACGATCTAACAGATCCTTATCACTGACAGTTCCATTAGACAGCAGGTTCTGCTAAAGGCTAGTTATTGTATGAACAGAAAGACACAACACACCGTTACAGACAGTATGTATCGGAGGAGGTTTTACTTCCCTTTCAGTACAAAGTGTACTGCACAGTTGATTCAATTAAATATTAGCTGGGTTGAGCTCTTTCTCTAGCACACCAACCGACTCAAGATCATTTAATTATCCTTGTTGTGAAGTCACGTGTGCCAGAAAATATCAAACTTGGTTTTGATAATGTGAAAAAGTCCACAATGTACAAAGTCAAAGCAGGAGACGAGAAAATCACAGCGAGGACAATAAATCAGAGCGGAAGAAGTTGAGCGTCACAAGATTTTCAATGATGAATTGGTTGTTGAATCACTGACAATGTGAGACAGTCTGAATGAGCAGACAATTATACAGAAAATTGTGATTTGAATTAATTTTTTCCACTTTGAGGGACATCGGCTCCCATGTCACTCACTGTGGACATTTAATAACCAAGCACTATTTTTAAAGTCGGATCTGACAACTGAACATGTGGTTCTTCATCAGACATGTTTCCTGCTGCTCCCTTCTAGGGTCACCACAGTGAATTATCTGCTTCCATCCCCTCTTTTCTTTGCCTCCTCCACTGTTACATGAACCATCTCAACGTCAGCCTTCACTTCGTCCATCAATCATCTCATTTTCATTCTTTTTCCGGTTTATTCTCTACTTCAGTCCTTGCTATCTTCTCACTCTCCAGGTCTGTGTCCCTAAATTGAGATAATCACTCCACTGAACCCCAAAACAAATGTTGTCTGCTCCAATTTCCTCACTACCCTTCCTACTACTTCCTACTACTACTTTTTCACCTGATTCAGAACAGTTACTCCATTCTAATCGCTGCTCTCATTTCCTTCCTCAAGTACACATTTTACATCCTTCACACTCGCCAATGTAAATCATCTCTATCCTTTATCACCCCAGCCTGCTGCACATGACTTCCAACTATGTCTTCTTGGTACAAATATATATATATTTATATATATTTTTTTTACTTTTTCACCTGATTCAGAACAGTTACCTCAGAGTTCAACGGTGCAGCCAAGCCAAACACCAGCGAAGGGTTGGACTCTGACAATCTTACTCTGCACAACTGTTTGTTATCTCTCAGAACAAAATGTGATTGCGTGTGATTTACTGCAACAGCTCCTCTTCTGGACAAACCTCCCGTTTCAATCCCAAGTGGTCTCACAAATATGATGTTTTAAAACCAACTGTAGAACAGATTAAACGGTGAATGTGAACTCATGATGTGTTAACCTCTTCCACCCCGCTCCCTTGTTAATAATAAATAAAATATTCAGGAATAATCAAGTTCAATTTCAGTTTCTGTTATTCACAAACTAAATACCCTCACTTTTTTTTTTACAGATGATGGCAAACTGTTCCAAAAGTTCAAACACCTGGTTATGTCTTTACTAAAACCCTGCACAGGTAATGTCCTCATGTTAATCTATGGTTTTCCTTTTCATCAGACTCACAAAGCAGTTACACACTATATATAACGGTGGTTCCTAAACTTCCTAAACAGCCTTATGTAGATAGGACTGTTGTTACGCCCCCTGACCTCATGTCGACACATTCACAGCTACTGCTTTAAAACTCCTCTGAACAATAATGAA